TGCATGCTGCAAACTTCACCTTGCTGGATTCGTGGCATGCACAGATCTCGAAGATGGATCCCATCTTCTCGAACCAATGGGTTAGGGCAATGACACCTCCAGTGCCATCGAAAGACTGAGGTTTGGCGTTTGTGAAATCCTTGTATGAACACTCCTTCGTGTGTCCATGACTGTTACCAAGATTGGATGGATTGGCACCATTACCTGCCCCGCTAGTGCCACTTGCATTAATCTGGGACATGGCGGCAGCCACATCGGCTGTTACTGTTGCATGAAAGACAACATGATCGTACTGAGGAGGTGGCGGTGGCGGATCTGTTGGAGGATAGTTGTTCTATCTATTGGACTTCTTCTTCGGAGGCATATTTCGCTAAAATAATTTAAGAAAAAGGATGGTAAGTCCTCTATGATGGTTCTGAGTCAGGCAATATTGAAAAAGATATATCTCATCCTAACAGATATAGTGTTCTATTAAGTGATTTATAGAAGAGTCTACTAATGCAAGTAAACAATCGCCAGAAGGTAAATAGAAACACTTGGAATAAAATCTCTACAATATGTTTGGCTCTAGTACTATAAGGGGATAAAATACTCCTGTAGTATTTTAGTTTACATGTTCTTGTTCTTTCTTTCCCTTTTGTATAGAATTTGGTAAGTTTTAGACTTGCTGCAACACCATTGTCACTCCCAAACACATGTCGATCGTATCTCAAATAAATATAGTTGATCAGGATATATTTATCCCATATATGATTACATAACTGTCCAGATTTAACTGCAGTGCTCAACATCTAAAAACTTTTGTCTTATTCTTCTTGTGATACTGCTTCTAGTATGTATGTATACTTGTATACTTCTTGTAAAATACATAGATTTTTAAAAGTATACTTTTAGTTCAGAGCACTACAGCCCCATAGCGTTTATAGTTATATATCATGTAAGGTTTGATATACTTAGTTCACTATAAACAAGGCTCTGATACCAATCTGGCACACCCCCAAACCAAGACGGCGGAAACGTTCAAGGGTGGAGGACGTCATGTATAGTATCACAACCATTGCATCATAGTAAGTAAAGTAAACACAACCATCACATTGGATATATAAAGTAATTACATCTGTTCGATACATAATTTGTATAATAGAAAAAGTGTAACAAAAGTATAAAAGACACGATTCTATAAGCTCCTTCTTCTCAAAAGCCTGCGGGTGTACCTATCTACTGGTTTCCTGAGAATACAAGGGATTTTGAAAGTGTGTCAACATTTAAGTTTGCGAGTTCATAAAAATGTTTTGGTACTATAAACTTGTTTTTGAAATCTATGAAATTTTTTGTATGTTTCCCAAGAAAATCCAATATTTTCTTTGGTAGTGAAAAGTAGTCTTAAGCCTAAAAACCAAAAAGTATGTTCGTTGTTGTATTCTATAGTTACACATTTATATGTAAAAGTATTTGTTTGTATGCCTGGTTACCACCAGCTGTGTTGTTTCGTATTGTTTTGTATGAAAAAATTTGTATGAAAACTCCTGGCTACCACCAGTAATGGATTATATTGTTCTGTATGAAAACCTTGGTTACCACCAGTAATGTATAGTAGTTATATTAATTAAAATAAAACTAATGAATAATGAAATCCCATAAACAAATGGTTAGTTTATACTATTGTGAGTTTGATATAACCATGCTTGATATGACCTAGTGACCTCTACGACGTTCTTCAAGTGTCAGAACGGTATGATATTTGTCACCCCATGCATGTCTGCCTAACTGTAACTAGCAGTTCAGGTGTGAGATTGTCAGTCATGTATAGATCTATACACAAATCTCACGCTCTCCCTCCAGGAGACTCTGGTTATACTGTGGTAGGATTTAGTTCCACACAGCAAAGGGTACAATTGAAGTAGTGCCTCACAACCCCATATTAACTAGTTTACGTGTAAAGTTGTAGTGTTCTCTTGTACTTGAAAGTGTATGTATAACTTGTAGAGTAAAAATAATTATAATTAAATAATTATTTAGTATTGTAATCTGGTATTCGAAGGATACTATTGTATACCATAAACTTAATCTACCATAGTTTATATGTTCATATCTGTATAAAGTTCTTGAATTGGTAAAACTATGTAATGACTCGAAAACTATACCTGTTATAGTTTGCGTGTATGTTAGATATTGTACTGAAAAACTTCACAACTATGGCTATATGTTGAAACATCCATTATGCTCAGCATGTTACAAAAGGGATAAAATATTTGAGTATTTTATAATACGTAGTGGTTTCTTGGTTGTATCAAATGCATAAGTTTTTAAATCTGTTTGAAACCCTTTGTATGATAACACAAAGTTTATTGTATTTTGCATGTAGTCTGCCCTCCCCCCCCCCCCCCCCCCCCGCGGAAACGTTGAAAACAGTAAAGGTGTTGGGGTATGTGTAGAAACAATGTAATCGAGTAATGAAAATGAAATCAGAGTTATCAATCAATTAAGAACACATGGCCTAAATAAGATCTGGTTTCAGCTCAATTATGCTTTCGAGTACAAAGAGTGTTTAGACAGATACAATGGGAAAGTTCTTATCTAACTCTAAGTACTCACTCCTATTTATAGGAGAACAGAGAAACATACAAAAAATACAAAGGACTAAGCATTACAATTTAGAAACTAAAATGCCTTTGTAAATAACGTTACACAAAATAACTAACATTACAAAGTTTCGACAGCTTACAACTAACTTCGACCTCTACCCTTTGTAAGCAATTTAGAAATCAATTGATCAAAACTTGACCAGCTGTATGTAATGTTCTTCGAATCTCCGCATACCAATTCATGATTTTCTTTAACTCAACTTTATCCCTATCAGTGTTCTTCTTACAACTATTCATATGCACAATTAAGTTTGTATATTGAGTAGTTTTATATCTTTCAACATCACTTGACTGGAACAAAAACTTCGTTTGTTTTCCATTCTTGCTCTTCCCAACGAATACAACTCCAATAGGTTTCAAACATATCTCACCATCGACATACTTTTTCAGATTGGCTTGAATTTTCAACATTGATTGAGGAATTGACATTTCTTTTCCTATTGACAATGCTAATTCAACATCTGTCAATGGTAAACAATCATAGTAATTGTATATGAAAAGCTTGAGATGAACTAACCCCAAACACAACACATCTTTGCTTGTTCCCTAAATTTTCGATGCATCTGTATCCTTGAGTATGTTTGCAACTTGAATCAGATCATTCAAGTTCATCAAAGGAAAGTCAGCAATTCAGAAATCACAAGCAGCCTTGTTAGCCCTTACAACATGGTATCGGAAATTTTGCAGCATATTCTCGAATAGTTCATCCTTTGTAACACTTATCACTTGGACAATCTTCACAAGTGACCACATCTCCTCCTGATCCTTTCCCAAGACTGCATGAAATCTTAGCTTTATATGAATAAAGTCATCTTGATCCTTGAATTGATCAACAATATTGTACTGAGCAGTAATAAACATCATTTCGTTTATTGGAAAATCAAGTTGATTCATTTCCTTGTTTTCGATAGCATAACTCTTTCTAGGCTTCTTTTCACAATCATGAATTTTGTTAGAAGCAACCCTCGCTTCGATGTTTTCTTAACTATGCAGCTCCCTTGGATCTCCTTTTTTCAGATTCAGAGGATCATCTTAACGAAGCATCAATATACTTTGGATTTGACGTTGCTTCTCCATTTCCGCTTCAACCTCTGCTTTCCTCTCTTCTTTCGATTTTTCAATAATAATTCGTTTCCTTCTATCCATGTTTGTTGTAACTTCCTTAGGTTTCAAAGCACTACCTTCACCATTTGTACCAATTACAATACCTTTAGGAATTGGCCTTGTAGTCGTAACAATAGATATCATAGGATCAGCCTTCGAAATTATTGGTTTTATAGAAGGAATATGCGTTGCAAACACTTTACCAACAACTTTTGCTTTGTCTTCAGTTTTCCCAGAAGCACCTTCACCTTGACCAATAGGCCTTCTCTCTCTCCCCCCTTGCACCCCTGGGATAATAGGTGAGGCATTCATTGGTAAAAGACTAATAAGTCAAGACAAAGGGGTTAGCTCTTTTTGAAGAGTTGTTTCAAACAAATTAAACTTCTGAGTTAAGAACTCAAGAGTTATAAATGAAGATGACCAATACTTCAAAACAAGCTCTTTTAGTTCGTTTAACAACTTGTTGACTTCCAAAAAACTTGTAACTTCGTTCACAGACATTTACTCACCCTTTAGACCAAGAACTTCATATAGCTTGACAAATTTAGTAACCGCATTAGCAATTATGTCAACCTTCTGATTCAATGAAGCATAATCTTGTTGAACCACAACAATTTCCATGCTCATATATTCCCGAAGATATTGAATTGTTAAATTTACATCCTCCCTGACCTTCTTAACATATTGAATAAAGAAGATGTGACGTTCGTTTGCTACATCCTTCAAGTCTTTTAGATCTGAAGCAAACGTTGATAACATATTTTCACCCTTTTCTTGTTGTTGCGATCAGCATCTTGAATAGCATCATAGATGCAATGTTCTTGACGTTTTAGCAACAAATCAACCTCCTGACTCAAAACAAAACGTTTTCCACCATCTGCTTGAACTTGTAAAAGAGAATTGAGTTTTCGATTAAGGATTTTGAATTCTTTGCCTGTAAGAATCATATTATCTGGAATTTCCTCCTCTATTTGATCATATTGAATATCAACAAAGGTTCCATAAAAATATCTTCATTATCATTAGTTGGGGTTTGATCATATTCACAAATAACAGTTGCGTCGGTAGATTATGAAGAAAATAAAGAAGTAACAGGTTGATTAAGTATGTTACCGAAAGTGGTTGAGTGGGTAGCAATTGGATTAGAAACAGATGGAGGTAAGGTTGTGGAAGTGTCGATAGTGGATGTTTCGAAGGTAGAAGAAACAATGATAGGTGTACCTTGATTATGTGAAGTTTCAACGGTGCACATCAAAGGTAGAGAAACAATAATTGGTGCTGGTTAGACACTTGCGAAGAAACAACATTTGTTTCAATAGTTGATTTTTCTGGAGAGTTTGGCACAGGAGGATCCCGAACAACTTCCTCTTCAGTAGACTCATCATTAATTACCAACTTGCAAAGATTCCTCTTCTGCTTCTTTGAAATATATTTGGCCATATCTTCTGCCTTTCGTTTCTTTGCAGATGGACAAACTAGGATAGGTACTTCTCGAAGAACAACACATTTATCTGTAACAGGTGGCTTTTGTACCATAGAAGGAGAAAAGATAGGAGAACTTTTTAAAGAATGTCTTGATTTATGAGCCTTCTTTTGATACGCTTGAATACTCCATATTTCGAAGGAACAATTTCCTTATAAGGCTCAATAGACTTCAGCTCAACAGCCTTTTCCACAGGCTTCGAAACAACAACCTCTTCAGTTTGTTTCTTCTTTGGAGACTTAGAGCTTTTCTTCTCCTGAACTGATTTCGAAGGACTCTCCTCAACCATCTTTGAGTGTCAAGATCTTTTAGAAGAACCCTCATCAGATCAAGGTAACAAAAAACTAGTCTCGATTGATGGATTAATGGTTTGCAAGTAAGTTTGTAACACGAAATTCGAAGGATCAACCTTTTTGAGAATTGCATCTAGAATCCTTGCAATGTTCGGAAATACTATTGCATCATCTTCAATTACTTTAGAAAATTATACTTCAAGAACTCAGATATGGACTCATCATTGGGTACCACGATACCTTCTTTCTCATATGCAAATCAAAGGATCAAACACCAATACCGTGCACATGAAATCCCATCTACCATATTAGTGTTTTGCAACACTCTTCAAGAATTCCTTCCACATTTGTGTTGCATAATCAACTGCAAGATCATAGTACATGCCAGCTACCATAGCGTATGCCTCCAGTCTTCCTTTATCTAACCCAATACTTCGACCTGTGAGGCATCGAAGGTAAATCCCAAACAGAAAATTCCAAATACATGGTAAGCCTGATTTCATGAACTCACTGATCTTTGTAAGAGTGGGTTGATAGCCAATCTCATTGAACACACACGCATACCTTGATCATTCGTAGCCTTGTAGAAAGGTGGAGAACTAGGTATTTCCATAATTTGATAGAACAACTTCTTGGATAGACGAAACTTCTTTTCATTCACTAGGTTGAAGGTAATAACATCCATTGTTTTGTTATAGGTGGCAGTAGAACCTGAAAGTGAAAGCCATGCCATTGGAACAACAAAAGAACCGGAGATTGCAGTTTTCAAAATAGAATGTTGCAAAGCGACAATCAACATTTGCAACTCCTCTGGATACATAGAAATATCACTATCGACTTGGTAATTAGTACTTTGGATCTTCAAAATTGGCTCAAAAGATACGTCTTCAGTGGTTTGAGATGGATCAGCACCAGTAGCAAGATTTTCCATGATTAGGGTTTGTAGAAAGATGAAGAAGACAAATATTTCTTTTGTAATTTGGATATTTCAGAAAGCGTAACCATGTAATGAGCCCTTGAAACCCTTTTTATAGGGGACCCTTAGATTTGAATTTGAAGTGGGATCAGCATTAAATGACATATGACGTGTCACCTAGAAAATCACATCCATACACCGACAAAAAGCCATGCGTGATAAAGTAAACATCACGTCTCCTTGAAACTAGGACAAAATACAAATAATCACATCATACAAATTGTTAAATTGACCCAATGGAATGAGAATCGTCAAAAACCTTCAGAATGGAGGTTAGGCTCTTTCACTTTTGGGTTAAAAAGTGAAGTCATATTCCATGCCATCAAAATCATCAGCCTGAGTTGGTAATACTTAAAACCTCAAGGATTTCGTGAGTGCATTGTGCCAATGATTAAGATAAGAAGAAAATTTAAAAAGAAAATTGGATCTGTTATGTCGAAAAATTAAATTTCGACACAAAAGCAAATAAATCTCGGGCATAGATTACTTCATTAATCATCAAGAGAAATGATCAACTGCTTGTGTGGTTTCCCGTGAATTACAATCGAATACCTGTTGATAAGTATCGAAGGGCTTGTTTTTACACGACTTTAAAGGTGGCTTAACATTTTGTTACAATGCACAACAAAACAGAAGAGTGTCAATTTGTACACGAAATTACCTATTTGACCAGTGTAGTCAGTGACAAGTAGGCTTTAAAATTTTTTTTGTAAGTGACTCAAAGAGCAAATAATACTCCAACTGAAATGATATTCAAGAAAACAAAATATTAGTTGGGTCTTGTTGGGTAACAAACATCGTGGGATTCAAACATTTAATCAAGACCACTCAAAACAACAGAATATGATTTGGAGTATCGAAGGTTGGTACAGAAACAAATGTTTCGTTAAATCTAGAACAAAGTTCCCCGTCAATTCCTTCAAAAATTTCAACTTTCAGGGTTTCACTTCCATCACGGTCTCATGATGTTAGATCATCAACAAAGAGTTTTGATATATCTAGATGCTGATTGGTTTATACCAGAAATCTATTAGACATATGTCATTGTGTGTGTAAGTATCAGAACTTTAGGATGAAAAAGATTTGGATAAAGATTCGGAAGTACCTCTGCTATGTACGGACCAAGCAGTAAACTCATAACTCAAATGAGAAGAGTAATGTAGCTCATGGAATAATGTGAATATAGCCTGATTGGGTAGAAATTTCTGTGATGAAAACTTCATTAAGGCTTCGAAATCACACATTGAGTTAAAGTAGGCTTGGGTCAACATGCTGCAACATGCTTCTAGGGACATCATAACTAGTACAAAGATTTTCGAAAATATACCTGACCCTAGAACTGTAAGCATGAACCATGGATGATCTTCGCTAAAAGCTGGATTAACACAGATTAAATACAAACACAAACAAACAAGAAAATCTTTTTGGAATTTCTGATTTTTCAAAAATTAAAGACAAATCAAAATTAAAATCTTTTTGGTGTTTTTGATTTTTCGAAAAGAAAAAACAAAAAAAAAGTAAAATCTTTTTGATTTTGATTTTTCTGAAAAAAATTCCGAAAACAAGAAAGTAAATGTACCAAACTTGCGAAGAGTTTTCATTTAAGCCATCCATCATGATGTCGAAAGAGAAGCATATCGAAGCGTTGACTATGAACAGTACCCGATGACTCCGATAGATGTCCTCCATTTTGACCTTAGCATTCTTTCGATTTAGATTCAGGAATTGAACTTCCTTCGATCATTCCTAATCCTACCAAAATTCAAACAAATGATTTTTCATCTAAAGGTTTTGTAAAAATATCAGCAAGCTGATCAGTTGTTTTTACAAATGAACTTCAATATTCCCATTTTCGACATGATCTTTAATGAAATGATAACGAAGAGCTATATGCTTAATTTTCGAATG